AATTCCCTCCAATGATGAATAGGAAGAACCTGTGTAACCACTAGGATATGGCAGAAATGACGAAGTATGTCTTCTGAGGGTAAGTTATAAAAAGTCATTGTCGCCTCTACACTGAGCTCCTTTGGATCTTGCTTTAGGGAAAGCCGGCCTTGATGTCTTCAGGATATCCAAGCAGCCTCATGGAGGAGTCAAAGTGGCTAGAAATGAAGGCTTCTTGCCAACAACCAACATGAACTTGTAGGCATGTGAGTGGACCACCTTATGTGGATCCTGCAGCCCATAGAGTCTGAGATGACTTAGCCTTGGTGGACATCTTCACTGCTACCTGAGCTGCTCCCAGATTCCTGACCCACAGAAACTGTGAAAGATTAGAACTCTTTATTGCTTTAGGCAACTAGATTTGGGGGTAATCTGTTATGGGGTAATAGATAACTAATACATATTTTTTGGTTCATTTAAATTCTTCTGGAAATTGCCTATTCATACTGTGTCCATTTCCTACTGTGCCATTAAAAATCTATATAATTACTTTTTACATATGAAATATACATTAATCCCTGGTTATTATACATGTTGCAAATACTTTTTTCAGTGTATTGAAAGTTTTTCAACTTTATGGTTTTTGGTTTACATTAATTTTAAATCTTTAGTCTAAAATGTAATCTTTCCCTTGATATCTTTGACATTTTGCATATTGTAATAAAAAGATGATGTCTACCTTAAAGTTTTATAATTTTATTTTTTCATAGAGCATTTTACTATATATGGAATTCATTTTAAAAACGTATTTTATTTTTCTTCCAGATGAGTAGCCAGTTATCTGTAAACTATTTATTATACCATTCATTTAAGCTATTTTTAAGACTTATTAAAACTTTCCTATTTAAACACTATGTATTGAATCGCTTATTTTACCTCCCATGCATTTGAAATGCCATTGTTATTTCATACCATGTTCCCATATATCCAGAGGTCTGGTTCTGGACTATCTGGTTCTCTTGGTCATTGTCTAATTCTGTTCTAGGATCATACAAGGTTTAATTACTATGGCTTCATAGCATGTTTTAATGTCCCATAGATTAACTTATTCCCTCATTCATTTTCTTTTTGTTCAATTTTGCCCTGGCTATTCATTTTTCAAGTGAATATGAGAACCAGTTCATCACATTTCTTAGCTTGTTGGAGCTTTGATTATATTAATTTCATAAATCATTTGATAAAAGCTTACATCTTTAAAACATTGATTCTTTCCATCAGGAACATGATATAACTATTTTCAGGTCTTCTTTTATGTCCTATAATAAAGTTTTGTGTGTTTTTTTTGTTTTTTTTTATTTTTTTATAGGTCTTGCACATTTACTATTAAGTTTATCCTTAGATATTGTAAGTTTTTAATGCTGTTATTAATGAAATATTTTGGGTTTCCATGTTATTTTCTAATTGGTTAATGTTGGTGTGTAAGAAAGCTATTGTATATGAAATCTATTTATTGTATATGTTGATTTTAACATCTGGCAACTTATGAAACTCTTTTTTATTAGTTGTAATAATTTTTAGTTGATTCTGTTTTATGTATATCATTACATCTACAAATAACCTTGATTTTCTGTCTTCCTATCTAATATTGGCACCTTCTTTTATTTTTATCCTCACCCAAGGACATTTTTGCATGTATCTTCAGATAGAGTGGGAGGGAGAAATGGAGGAAGAGAGAGAGAGAGAAACATCGATGTGAGAGAGACACATCAGGTGGTTGTCACCCACACGACCCCAACTGGGGCTCAGGAAAACTGCAACCAAAGTACGTGCCCTTAGCGGGAACTGAACCCAGGACTCTCTGGTCCATGGGCCGGCGCTCTAACCGCTGAGCCAAACTGGCCAGGGCCCTTATTTCTTTTACTTGTCTTATTGCATTGGTTAAGGCCTACAGCAAAATGGCAGACAATAGTTGTGAAAGTTATAGACACTACTATGATGCTTCCTCATATGATATTGAATAGGATATTTGCTGTGGTGTTATGGTAGTAAACCTTTATCAAATTACAGAAGTTTCTTGCTATTCTAGCCTGTTAAGAATAATTAAGAAGGAGTGTACTGATTTATTTTTTTAAGCTCTATTGAGATATTCATTTATTTACTTCCTAATCTGACAATATCGAGAAATACATCAACAAATTTTCCAGGGTAAATCTTATTTGATTATCGTGTGTTGGTCTTATAATTCAATGCTGAATGTATAATACATTCTAAATAGATTTTGGTCAAAATGTCTTATATAAGTTGATATTTAAAGCAGTTTATCATTAAATTTGCTGAAATATATTCCTACCCAAAATGAGGTAAATATGGTATTTTTAGTGTAAGATTTTTTTTAAGAGAGACAGGAAGGGAGAGATAGAAATATCGATGAGAGAGCACATTGATTGGCCACCTCCTGCATGCCCCGCACTGGGAATTTGGCCCACAACCTGGGCATGTGTCCTGACTGGGAAATGAACTGGCGACCTCTTGGTGCATGAGTCAGTGCTCAACCACTGAGCCACACCGTGGGACTAGTGTAAGATTTTTATACCCATATTCCAGCAGAATTTTATTTTGCTTATATAAAATATTCTTTTATTAACAGATACTAACTGTTCAATATCTTAAATCTGTATCTGCTGTGTATTTTTATCAATATTCTGAGAAGATATTTAGCTGGCCTGTCACAGATTGTAGAGTCAGACTAAAAGATTTATAGAAACAGCAGGATAGTACATTTGCTATGTTCTCTTTAGTGCCATTCTTTTCTCCCCTTCTTAGTGGTTGGTTACTCACAGAACCTGGTTAGAAATTATCTCTTCTAATTGTTAGCTAGTTTTATAGTTATTTATCCTCACTGAACCTCAAAATTATGCCATCTGTAATAATTAAAGTTATAATAATCTCACTTGTGGTTGAGCTGATAGACCTTAAAGAACACACCCATGTATTGAGAGTTTCTATGTATTTTCAGCAAGACTAAATTAAACTATTCACAGCTATTACAATATAGAAAATAGGTTTCATTTGGACCATCTGTCAGATCCTCATGTACCCACACATCTCTGCCTCTTTAATCTAACTGGTACATAGGTACGCCATGCCAGACAAAAATACATGTGCCAGGCTACTAGTAGGCTGTTTTGGAAGAATGGTATAGAAAGCATCTTAAAAGCTTGACCAGCAAGCTGTAGCCCAAGGATTTTATGATTACATAATTGTGCATTACATTACCCACTGAGACTTGAATAACCTGTTTCAACCAATCCTGAAATCGTTTTGGGGTCTTCCATCAGTAGCCATTGTTTTTTAAAGAAAAAGAAAACAGAGACACTACTTCTTAGTCCTTGTAAGTCTTTTTTTTTTTTTTTTCTTTTTAAATATCTTTCCTCATTTCTTTTTTTTTTTTTTGAGAGAGAGGAAGGGAGATAGAAACATCGGCTGCCTCCTGCACAACCCCACCAGGGATAAAGCCCAGGTATGGAACTGGGACCTGCCAGTCCACTGGACAACGCTCAATCCACAGTGGTGGGGCAGTCCTTGTAAGTCTTACTGTACAACCTTCAAAGAGTTGTCATGAATTTTCAAAAATGAGATGGTATGCAATAGCATAATACCTGCTGCCTTCCATTGGTTTTTGCAGAGATGAGTATTTAAATGTTTATAGCAAGCTTTCAAGAAAAATGTGCCAGGCAATATGGCAAACAGGGTATAACAATTTTTTAAAAGAGTACTTTCCCAAAAACCTAATGGGTGAGGCAATACATCACACAATACAGAGTGACAGTCACCGGAGGCTTAAGAGAACCTACAATCTGAACTCTGAACTCAGCATGGAGTCCATAGAACTGTTTGGTTACATTAGGAGATGCGAACCAGTAGAAGAAAAGAGGAAGAGGCGTCTGGTCCAGGGCCCAGCTTTGCTGAGCATGGAGTTCTGAGAGGCAGACACATGCTGAAATTGCAAGTGTGTGGGTGGAGGATGGGTCTGCAGACGAGGCTAACGTAGAAGGCGTTGCAGGGTTCCCATTAGGCAAGCTCTTAAAGCAAAGGGCCTGATTATCGTCTTAGGGTCTCATTATAAACTTCAGAGTTGCCCTAGTTGTAATGCCCCCCTGGCTTCAAGCACAAACTGTGAGGTGCGGCTGTTCGCTTGCAGCTCAAGAAGCTCCACCGGTGAGGTCACTTCTCAATGACCCGCGAGTCACCTCCATGTTTCTGTTCTGCTCTGTGCTCTAAGCTAAGAAAGAAACTCCTAGTTGACAAAGGCAACCTGATCACTTCATCCTTTAGATACTTTCAGGTTACTAGGTGAGGCAGCATTTTAGAATCGGAGCAAGAAGCCGAAGCGTTTGTCTGAGTGACCAGACGACATTCGGGCTCTGTATTACACCATTCCCAGGTTTGCTGGCTAACTCAGAACGAGGCGCTGACCCTGGCATCGTTGGGGAGCAGGAAAGTTTTGGTAAGAGTTGGAGGGTTCACTGCCAATGCCAGCCGAAAGTTAAAATGAAAATTCAACCAACCAAAGCAAAATCAAGAAGCTCCATGCTTTTCTATTCGTCGCGGTCTTGCAATCTGTTCAGGGTGGCGTCTTGCAAACAGCAAACCCAGCCCTTGCGGGAGCCCGAAAGGCAGGGAGCGCCCGGGTGAGGCCCAGTGCCCCGCGCGGAGGCGCGCACACCCCTTTTCTGCAGACTCACAGGTTTCAGGCCCCGCCTCCTCGGGCCCAGCCGGTCTCCGCAGCCCTATAGGCCTGGAACCCAGGCGCCCAGAGCCCCGCGCCCTCCGCTGCCCGGCCCGGGTCCGGCGTCTGCCCGCTCAGAGCGCCGCGGGCGGCAGGACCCGCAGCGGACCCGGGTCCGCGCCGCGCTGCCTCTGGGTCCCGCGGGCGCAGGGAAAGGAGGCGGGGCGGCCGGGCCGGGGGCGGAGCGGCGGCCGGGAGCCCGTCCCAGCGCGGTGTCCGCCGGCCGCCTGGCGCGGCCATGGAGGTCTACATCCCGTCCTTTCGCTACGAGGAGAGTGACCTGGAGCGGGGATACACGGTAGGCGCTGCCCCGCGATGAGGCCGAGGCTGCTGAGCCGGGAGGTACCCCCTCCCGCGGCCGCCCTCGCCCCCGCACAGGGGTCCCTTTGCTCCCTCCCCTCCCCCGGCCCAGAGGAAGGGCAGCGCCCCGGCGCTGTTGTCAAGGAAACGGGCACCCCCTCCCCTGCGCGGCCGCTGCGGGCGCCCGGGTGCCGGATCCCGTCCCTTCTCCCTCCCAGCCGGCTCCGGGTCTGGGAGCAGAAGCCCGGGAGTCGAGTCCCCGGACACCGCGCTCGCCGTTCTCCCGCCGCCCGGCCTCTGGAGCCCCGGCTGGGCTGCGATCCTCTCTGGCGCAGCTGCCCCCTCTGCCCAGACAGAAGTGGCTTCTCAGCGGGTGGATGTGGGCTTCCCAGTTCTGTAGGTTTCATTCAGATGGATGTTAATTTTAAAATATCATCACGTGTTGCTGTTTATGAGCCAAAGTGAACACATGTGGTGCTTCTAGATGGTTTCCAAAGTTGGTTTTTTTCCTAGTTCTGTGCCATAAAATGGCTAAATCAGGTACTTCATGAACCTGTTCCATACCTAGGACTGTATATACTTGGAGAGATGAAAAAACAGGGTCCCTGCTCCCTGCAGTGGAGGAGTGGGCAGGAGGGCGGACACCAGGGCCTGGGACCTTTGAGTAACCAGTTGAGTAAGTAAACAGTGGTTGGTTGATTTCCCAATGAATTTAGACATCTTTCTCTACAGTCATTGCTAGAGGGAGAAATGCCTTTGGCTGGGTAGACCTTGGAAGAATTTCTCTCCAGTTGTTAAAAAAACTGGTGGGCTTTGGAGAAGATTTGGAGGGCAGCCTGAAAGTTCAAATTGTTATTTTCATCACTACTAATTCACTCCCTTGCTAAACACCTGTTACACTAATTTAGCAGAGAAGTATTTTAACTTCAACTCTTCCACATGTTACTGGTTTTTGGTGACAGCCTATTGGGAACCTTGTATTTTCATAGGGAGCATTGAAATCATCCTCTGAAAGGAATTTTTAGAAATAGGAGTACTTTAATGATTGGGGGAAAAAATCCAGGGTGTATGAGTTTTTAGAATTAAGTAGACTGCTGAGTCTAAGTGTCCCAAAACAAGTTGGGCTCTGTGGTGGCCATTATTTCTATAGATAGTACTTTCCAATGAATTAACATTTGGTTAAATATCCTGTAGCTTCCTTTAAAAGGGGTGGAGGTTGAACTTAAATTTGAAATGTTCAAAGCTTTTTCCTCAGGTCTGAAACCAAGGCTGTCTTTCATTTTTCCAGCCATCTCACCAGCATGAATAGTCACAGGGGGCCTACCGTCTTCGGGCATTCTTTTTGGACCTGAAGTCTGCTTTGGGGGCACTTTGATCTGTAGAGGAAGGTGGTCTCAGTAGACTAAGCTACAAGTTAATCACCTCTCCAAATAAGCACTTCTGAAGAAGTAGATTAAAATTAAGGCTTTATTGGTCATTATTTATTTTCTTCTCAGGATCTGTGTTTTCCTCCCAAATTTTCACACATCTTTTTATTACCCACATTATTTGCCAGACTTCAAGTTGTAAATTAAGCTGGTTTGGAAGGAACCCTTTTTTTTTTTTTTCGGTAAACTTGGTAATTTGAAGTTTGCTTATGTGATGAGAGCTTGTGTGCTTTTTAAAAAAAAACCTAACCTATTTAGCTTGGTAACCTTATTGTTGAGATACCTTCTGCACAGGAGTATTTTTCCTCTGAGTTTGTGAAGCAGCTTTTAGATACTTTGCTACCCTGAGCAGCTATTTTATAATTGTACAACAGCTTATTCATTTAGCAGATGTTAATTGAGTATTTGCTGTCTCTTGTAGGTGTTGGGAATAGCCATTAATAATAATTCACCTTTTTAAAAAACTTACAAAGCCATTCTGGCTGGTTTGGCTCAGTGGTTCAATTCCGGTCAAGGGCACATAACTCGGTTGTGGTTCATTCCCGGCCCTGGTTGGGTCGTTTGGGAGGCAACCAGTCAATGTGTCCCTCTCACATCGATGTTTCTCTCTCTTTCACTCTATCTGAAGATAAATAGAATGTATATCTATATATATATCCTCAGATGAGGAATAAAAAATAAATAAAAATAAACAAACCCATAATTTTAAAATATCTCAGTTTCCTAAACAAGAAGCTGGTATACTCAAGTATACTTGAGTGTAAAAATAACTTTTTACTTTAGTGATTATGTTTGTGAGTTAATTTTAAGGAATATATCACATTCTTACAAATTCAGGGATAGGACTTTTCAAGTAGAAAAGGATGGTTCTTTCATGCCTCTGGTTCTATGCCCTCGGAGATTATACAAAGGAGTGTTTTTTAGCAATTTTTCTCCCTATTCTATGAAAATATGTGTTTCTTCTTTTTTAGAATAAATGGCAAGATTTTACTAAAACTGTCATTCTCCAACTTACGGACTTCTTTCTGTGCCAATATGGATAGGTCTGTCTCCTCCCTCTGACTATTAGCACAGGGATCTTCCACAGATGGAATGCACCATATTTTGTTTTTCCAGATCTCCGTGGGTGGCCATTGACATTTGTTTCTGATTTTTAGCAACTATGTCAAATGTTGAAATAAGACATCCCCGCACATGCTTTTATATGCCTACTGCTAGGATTTCTGTAGAACATTAACTATAAGTGGTGTGCTTCTGGGCATTCTAACGTTTTCATAGATATTGCTCAGCTGTTATTCAGAAAGTTTATACAAAGTTATGCTCAAAGTACAAAGTAATTTACATTTAAAGAATGAATTCTTGCACTTTTTACATTTAAACATTTACTGTGGGCTTGCACTGTGCCTGGTGGGGAATTGAAAGATTCAAGCATGTTGTTTCTGCCCTTAGGGTTCCTGGGCCCCCACAAGGGAAGGGTTAGGTAGGGAAGGGTTAGAGAGGGAGAGGGGTCTGCTCTGCCTTAGGGTTTTGTGCTGGGGGGTGGGGATGGGGGGTGCTTTGGAATGCTGGCTTGAAATCTGGTTAGGTTTTTGCTGGAATCATGAAATCTACAAAGAGGAAGTGCGGAGCAGAATCTCATTTTAGGGGAAAGTCATTTCCAACTCCCAGATTCTCCAAAAAACAAAGGCAACTTCTAAATTATTTTAGTTTATAGAAGCAGGAGAGGATATTGTAACAAAATGCCAATGAACTCAAATATCATTTCATGGGGAGGTTATTCTTTACACACCAACCTCCCCCATCTCCCACCCCAGCTTATTTCTTTAATATCTGTTTCCCTACTAGGCTATAATCACCTTAAGGCTGAGACAGAGTCAGTCCTCACTGCTGTACCCTCGGACAGGGCTTATCATGAGTGATGGAGTGTTCTAATCGGAGGAGAAAGTCAGAAGAGCGAGTAATTCCTGACAGGGTCAGGGAGAGACCAGCTCACTAGCCTTGAGAGCTACAAAGGAGGGTGGACTTCAACCTCAGGCAGTGGGAAGTCACTGGAGAGTTTTAAGGAAGGAAGTAACATGATGAGCTTTGCATTTAGAAAGATGACACCAAAGCATTAATCATTTGAGAGAAGTTTGCAAAACTTTAGAAAGAAGAGGGTGGGAGCCTGGACTAAGGCAATTTAGAGAGGAAAGGGATGACTACATCCCCAGGGCCAGGTGACCAGATGTGAGACTGCAAGGTGACTACCATGGGTGGGTGTTCTTAACATAACCACAATGCAGACGTTGCCTTGGAATTAACAATGACCTGCAAGGAAGTACTATTATTGCCACTTTATATTTGTGAGAATGGGACTGGGAGGTTGAATTGGGAGGGCCTGGGGGCCTGAGAGTGGCCCTCCTCTCTCTGCTAGCATCCTCAGAGTGCTTCTGTCTGGTGAAAAAGTAGTAACAAGTTGCAGATTTTTAAAAAAGTTTTGAATACGACATCTAGAGGAAGAGAGGGAGGACATTTTCCCCCCAGAAACTCTGAAATGCATCTCTCTTCTTACCTCATCATTCCCAGTTGGTTTCTCAGCTTATCCTGGTGCCAGGGGCATCCTGTGTGCTTATTGGCTGAGGCCAGGGCTACCTGAACCAATCACCATGGCAAGGATAGGTTAACCAGAGGGAGTTAAAATAGAGGGCATCTGGAGCTGGGAATGAGGTCGGCCATTCCTGCCGCCTAACTATAGACACCACAGTGAGAAGGTCAGGAGGACAGTGAGAGCACAATGTCCACAACTGTACCTCTCAGTCACCCATTCTAAGCATCTGCAGTGAAGGAGTCCTTTGTGTCGCGCACACAAAGCTGGCATGCTGCCCCATTCATGGTAAGCACACAGCACACGTGAACATTAAATACATGCTGAGTGACTAAGTCAAGCATTTGTCAGATATGTTACAATACTTAAGAACTACAGTTTGAAAATATCCTTGAACAGTTTAGTGGCTCAGTGGATTGAGCATTGTCCCATGGATTGAGAGGTCCTGGTTTGATTCCTAGTCAGGGCACATGCCCGGGTTGTGAGCTCAATCCCCAGTAGGCAGCCAATCCATGTTTCTCCCTCTCCCTTCCCCTCTCTCTCTCTCAAAAAAAAGAAAAGAAAAACATTAACAAACAGAATGCTCCATTCCATTAAAAATCAAAATAGGTACAAGAGAATTGAATTTTGCAAAGATGGTGCTTAAAATTTGCGGACAGAAGTAAGTTTGTTTACGCTGAGCTAGAAATACATTTAAATCCTTTTTTAGTAGTTTTATTTTGTAATTTATCTGCTCTTTTTAAATTTATTTTTCATTTTTTTCTTTATTGATTTGAGAGAGAGAGAGGAAGTGAGAGGGAGAGAGACAGAAAACATCGATGAGAGAGAATATCAACTGGCCGCCTCCTGCATGCCCCCCACTAGGGATCGGGCCCATAACCCAGGCATGTGTCCTGACCAGGTATCGCACTGGTGACCTCTCGGTTGAATGGGTCAACACTCAGCCACTGACCCACACTGGCCAGACTATTCTTTTTTATTATTATT